CTACAATATATTGGTGTTTAAACAAACAAATTTATATATATAAAAAAATGAATTTAAGTGAAACAAAAAAGATTTTTTTTTATATATAAATAATCGATGTGTAAACAAGGAACTATGTGGCTTCTGTCTGTCTTTCTGTCTAGAGGCTCCCTCAACATATTTATATAACAAAGAAACTTCTTCTTCACCCACAATCTAATGCAAAAACCCCAACAACTTTCCACTTCTCTTTTGAAATTTTTATTATAAATTTTCTTTTTTTCATAAATCCTTTTACGCACAAAATGTTTTTTTTTTACTAGTCTGCACGAAACGCATGCAAAGTTAATCAAAGTTGAATACAAAAACAAACAAACACAACACTAATTCACATAAACAGCACAACTTCACCTCTCTATCTCTATTTTTCTTCTCGCCTTGGACTGTCTTCAAACACTTGAACTTAAGCACAAATCAAAGATAAAAAAAAAAGTTGTAAACTAAAATATTTCTTCGCTTCTTCTATACTTTTCACCTCATATCTTCACTATATATTATATTTCACAAATTCTTATTCGATAAAACGCAAGCATTATTAGTTACATAGTTCATTGAATAATCTACATCTTATTAATAATAATAATAATAATAATAATTAAGATTTAAATTTTTACAAATATTTTTAGAAAAAAAAAATCATTAAGTTTAGTGTTTAGGCCAATAAATTATGATTATTATTTAGGTAAAGTGTCCGAAAATACATTATATAGACCTATTTTGAATATTAATACGAGTTTATTTGTTAATACGTGAAATCAAAGTTAACTTAAATCAAGTTACAAAAGACAGTCTAAGGCCCTTCCGCAGTGCATGGGCGTGTGTGTACATATATATATAATCCGAGGCGCATGTGTTGTTGTTGTTGATGTTGTTGCTATCGTTGTTGTTGTTATTGATGTCGTTGTCGTTGTTGTTGTTTGACTTGGTAACGTAGCAACAAAAAACATATTGTTTTCATGGTAATTATGGATTAAAAGCAGTTCTGATTTGTTTTCAGTTAACGCATTGGCCGCAACAAAAGTAAAACAGAAAAAACAAAAACAAATAATTAATGATACGAATAATCACGGGAAGAAATGCACAATAATCGTTAATATAGTGAATTAATAAAATTAAATGAAATAAACACCAACAACAAAGTAAAATAAATGAAAGTCAAACACACACGCATGATTGGATTACTTAGGCATCGGTAGGCCCACGTCGGACGCAGAGTGCGCTTCTTGGATTGAAACAAAAAAAAAATTGATTATGAATGAATTGATATAATATTCGAAGATTCGTTGAATATTTTTTTTTTCTAGATAGGAAAAGACGTGTGTGGTGTAAATACGATCGGTATTTATATTAAGACGTTTTTTTTTTGTTTTCTGTTTAGGATAATTTGTAAAACGTTGGAATTTGTAAATTATCTAGTGATGATAATAATAATTACTACTACTAATACTAAATTAAGTTCGTTCGTCGTTACGCAATCTCTAAAGGGTTATAAGCAAAAACAATTGAAATCAAATAAATTAACAAATAATCAAAGAAGGTAATGATTCTCTTGAGCATGCGGCATGTACAATCCAAATTTTTTCTGTTAATCTTTCGTTTTTGTTTTCTCTAATTATAATTTTTGTTTTGTTTTTTTGTTGCTATAGCGATACTTCAAACACTACCCGAAAGACAGACAGAGTAAACACCAATTATTATTCACTTTGAGAGAGAAATTATTATTTGATCATTTGTTTTTTTTTTAATTTACTTTTGCTATTTAATTTTTCTTATAGGTTTTTCGATTTGCAAATTTTCAGAGCAGGTCGTGGATTTCATAGTAGCACTTGTTTTTGAGTTCAATATTTTCTGATGACTTTATTTAGTTAAGCAATTCGTCTCTCAATTGATACTAGCAACTGTGGTTGTCATGGATACAACTATGGTTGTCATGGATATTACCATGACATAAAGATATACTTGATTGACCTGCTCTAAGATTTGTCCTTCTTAACTCTTAGATAATCCCTAAATATACGAATCTAAATAAGAGTAGTATCCAACAATAATTTGCAAATTTTTAGAGCAGGTCGTAGATTTCAGTAGTAGCACTTATTTTTGAGTTCAATCATTTTCTGATGACTTTATTTAGTTAAGCAATTCGTGTCTCAATTGATACTAGCAACTGTAGTTGTCATGGATACAACTATGGTTGTCAAGGATATTACCGGTATAGACATAAAGATATACTTGATTGACCTGCTCTTAGATTTGTCTTTCATAACTCTTAGATAATCCCTAAATATACGAATCTAAATAAGAGTAGTAACCAACAATAATTTGCAAATCTTCAGAGCAGGTCGTGTATTTCAGTAGTAGCACTTGTTTTTGAGTTCAAGTATTTTCTGATGGCTTTATTTAGTTAAGCAATTCGTGTCTCAATTGATACTAGCAACTGAAGTTGTCATGGATACAAGTATGGTTGTCATGGATATTACCGGTATAGACATAAAGATATACTTGATTGGCCTGCTCTAAGATTTGTGTTTCTTAACTCTTTGATAATCCCTAAATATACGAATCTAAATAAGTGTAGTATCCAACAACAACAAAACAAAGAAACAAAAGAAAATAGTGTAAAGAACTAAGATCATCCACCCTCTTCTTCACCTCTCCGCCTCATACGAAATCCATCTGACCACCAATTGGTTTCCGCTTCCCGTTTCGTCCAACACCACTAACCATCGTATGTTCGTTTTTTTAGTGAAATTCATGCCGGATAACCAGCAGCAGCAGCCACCACCGTACGGCTACCCCCAGGGCGGATACATGCCGCCCCCGCAGCAGCAACCTTTGCCACCTCCGGCCGCGCCCCAATCAACCGAGTCCAGCAGCGGCTAAGACCCGCCCTCCGGAACCTCCGCCAATCGCCTGCACCCAACAACAAACAAACAAACATAACACCAACAACAACAACAACACCGAGCAGAGCCGATTGGTTAACGAAACTCAGCGAAGGCGGACGAACAACAACAACAAGAAAACAAAACAATACAAGCATTTTAATTGCAAACAAATGAATCGCATTGATTTATTATTAATTCAACAGAGTAAACAAAACAAGAGAAAGAAAAGGGGGTATTCAATTATTTAAACGCTTTTCGCGCTGGAAAAGGGGGGGAATTTCCATAAACCACTTGAGAAACACCTGAAATGAATTCACGAAAACGAAAAAAAAAATTGTGCAAGAAATAACTAAAAAATAAATAAATATTTACTAGGCGTTAGTAGAAACAGGGCAAATTCTTTTGTTTTTTTTTTTCTTCTTTTGTTTAAGAGGGCGGGTTTAAGAAAGATATTAATTTGGATTCAAAGAGAGGGGGGAAATACCTAATAATTAATAATAATAATAATATTTAAAGAAACAAAAAAAAATATATAAATAAATTATTTAAAACAAAAAATAATAATAATGATAATGAGAGAGTACATATGGAGAGATGTTAGATGTTAATAATAATTAACTAAGAATAAAAAAAAATAATGAATGTTGTTTCATTTCCGACAGTTACTTGCGTTCGTCGTGTCTAATTACTTAATCCTTTCATTTAGTTCGGGATTTATCAGTTTCCCATATACGCATCTATCTGAAATTTTCTTTTTTTTTTCTGCATTTGTTACACGAATTCTTTCGATATACGTGATTGCAAAAAAAAATAAAAACATAATTTTCCCTTCGAAAACACACACACGTAAGAACGATGATACTACGCAGATGCAAAAACTTGTATAAAGTGTTTTAAGACGTTATTTTATGTAATATAAATATAATATATTCGTTATTATTCTATCACTATTACGATTAATAAATATTATTAGATTAGCAAATCATTCAAGTTTATTTTATTTTCATCCTTTTTCCAAATCCAAATTAAACGTACGAATTACAGCCAAACCGACCAACAATATATGAATACATTCCCCAAATATTCAACTTTCATATGCATCCTTTGGATCCATTCTATCTTTTATAGTTTCCGAGAAAATCAATGAAATGTGAAAACACAGCGTTTTTGAACGTTTTCTCAAATTTAAACACGAATTACCGCCAAACTGATGAAACCACAACAATATATTAATACTCGTTACATTCCCCAA